GGTGGGGTGGGATAGCACTGCCGAGACCCTTGCACTGGGGAGCTGCCGTGGCATGTGGCTCATGCAGGTGCTCACTGTGCGGGGCTGTTTCCCCCCTGGGGCACCCGCTTGCCCACCACGGATGGCCTTCTTCAGCACCTGCACAGTTGAACACAATAGTAAAAACAGGGGGAGACCCAAATGACTAAGAGGCAAACCTAAAAAAAAGATGTCTGCTTCCTCAATGAGAATTATTTTGAATGAGTTAATACCAAGGGGGTTAAAGAACTGTTGTATATTTTGAATTTGGGCTGTCAAAGCAAATATTTCAACAGTTGGTCAGAAGTGGATATTGAGTGGCATGCTGTGAAGAACACACAGTTCTGTCATGGAAAAAACTTGTCAAGGGATGGGGAACTCAGAGGAGGAATAAACAGCCAGTTTTCAGCCTCACAAGGGCCTAGCTTAAGTTTCTGTCGAGCAAAAATGGGAGGAAAAAGGGTGCATGAAGCACAGAGTTATTTAGGACAGTTTGTAGCTGGAAAGACTTGGATGTATGGCACAAACATGCTGTTGGAGCCGTGTGAGAATAGGTTAGGTTCATTTGGAAACTCAAGGTGGTGTGTGTTGGAAGGAAAAGGTTAACTACACAAGCATGACTGAACTGTAACTTATCTCTAATACTTTATCTGCAACCTTTTCCTGCTAAGTCTTGAAAAGAAGTGCCCCTGCCCCTACTCTGGTCTATGTGTCATCCTACTTTATGTGTTTCTGTCTGTCTGCTTACAAAAAGGAGTTGCAGGTGAGCGGCCTTCCCATTCGAAGGCATCACTAGTGCAAGAATAAATATATCCAGAAGCTCTCCCATGAATAATGGTACGTTGCTCTGGAGATACGCTTTGTACCAGAATAAAGTACTTGTTACCTGTGAAAAGCTGATTTGTGAAGGTTTCATTGGAAAGCTAAATATGTTCTATTGAACTGTAGTTATTGGTGACATTTATTAACTTTTAGGTGCTGTGAAGTTTCAGTATGTTGCAAAATGGGGAAGTATACATTCCAGTGAAGTTCTGAGATTTGACACTACCTCCATATCATCTTTGGACCAGGCTATTTTGCTTATGCGGTGACTTTTCTGGAGATACTGTGTTTTAAAACATTACCGCAATTTATTCTTGCACTTGTATTTCAAATGGAAAAGAACCCCATGGTGTGGTCTTTTCTTTCTGATTCTACTATATGTATCCTATGTTTGTTATCAGTGCCATGTTTTTATGGCTGGGAGTGTTCATCTGGAATTTCCACCTGCTTAAGTAAATATGAACTTTGTCCTCATCTGTGTTCAATAAACAGTATTTTATTATGTTCAGCATGTACAGAGTAAGCAACAACAGCTATGATGGGTGTTCAACTCTTATGTCCCTTGCACCTCAATTAAAATCCTGGAATTACAAAGACAAGGAGTTTACATGGGTGCGGTGCTTGCACAGAAATACAGATTCTAGAGCTTTTTGGAACTTATCTTAAAAAATAAAGACATTTTCTATTATATTCTCTTTAATTGTGCTGATGACATCAGAAGAATATAGGCTTGTAGTGGACTTATTTAAAGTGGAAATACTGAGAGAATTAATTTTTTTTTGGCAGGCTGACACTTAAGCTCTCTGTTATTACAAAAGGTATATTCGATGAACCCAGGAGGTTTTCAGCAGGCTCTGTTTGACAGGCCCTCATTAGAGCTTTTGTATGTTGATGTGGATCTGCATGAGATCTTGGTTCATTGTGGGGATGGAAATGAAAACTTTTTTCTCACTGCTGACGTGTTGTCTCTTTTTTTTCTTGTAGGTGTGTGATGTCAAACAGTGGGCAGTCCTTGTGGCCTCCCCCGCCAGCCTGCAGTGTCATGTGCCAATGTGAATGTTAAGAAAGAAAAGCATACTTCAAAGATCAGCATCCCAGAAAGAAAAAAGGAGGAACTAAATGGAGAGAACAAATTACTGTACTGCTTGCAAAACTTGGGGCCATTCACTTTTTCTCCTGAGAAATTTCATCTTGGCTGTTGTGAGAGAGCTGAAAGAGCAAGCAGAACAGCCACAGTGATTTTCTTAGGGTCTTTTTTTTTCTTTCTTAATTTATTTTTTTCCCCTTCATGCTTGGATTTTAAGACTGTCAGCTGCACTGATCATAAGCACTGGACATCAATATGTGTCATGTCATTGTAACATGTCGGTCAATGCTATGGACTCTCCTGAGTATTGTGGTGGCTTTTGCAGAGCTCATCGCTTTCATGAGTGCAGACTGGCTGATTGGCAAAGCAAAGCCTTTGAGCTCTGAGGACATGGACAACAGAACAGGGGGGTTGCAGGAGCCTTACCATCTGACACTGGGCATCTACGGGCACTGCACCAGAATCTCCCACATGCAGCTTTCTAGACGAGACACACTTTGTGGTCCTTACGCCGAAAACTTCAATGAGATTGCCAGTGGGTTCTGGCAGGCAACCACTATTTTCCTAGCCTTGGGAATCATGATTCTCTGCGCCATGGCATTTGTGTCTGTCTTTACTATGTGTGTGCAGAGTATTATGAAGAAAAGCATTTTTAATGTCTGTGGGCTGCTACAAGGGATTGCAGGTACGTGTACTTTGAGAGCAACTAAAGATTTTAATTTTTGTGCCATTCAGCTGAAGAAACAACGATTCTGTCCTGTCTACAAACAGACTGCTTTAGGCAGACCCAAAGCGTTTCTATGTGCTGGTGTTTATTCAAACACAACTGAAATTTATAGCTACACAGCATGTAATACATTGACATTGGCAGCAGGATTGCAGTCTGGTGTGTGCCAAAATGAACTGACCAGTGTTGCTTTTGTTTGCTGGTCAGTTTTTTCCTCTCTGTTTGAATTTCTTTCAGTAACAAAAACTTCTCTCCTTTGTTACCAGCAGAGAACAAAGTTAATACTCTTGTTAAGGCAGTCTATCTCCCTCTCACTACTTTAGTAATTTTTCCATAGACCGAAGGCAGTTCTCTCAGCGTCTCAGACACTTCATGACTGTGGTGAGAGCAAATACCACCCCAGGGATAAGAACAGCCTGCGGAGTTGCACACCCATGGTTTCATACTAAGCAGCATCCTTCAAGGCTGTGAGCTTGACAAGCGATACCTTACAATTAAACCCTTCCTTTAGCCAGCTTATTGTTCAGCTGCAATTACACAGCCCGGTGAGCTTATTTCTTCACTGTCCAAGTCTCAGCTGTGCTTTGCCTGAAAAGATGAATTGGTTCTAGAGATTTAGTGTTTCTGCTTAAACCCGGGGATTTTACACAGATTAAGTGACTGCTATGTAAACCAACACTGGACAGCCCTAGTTAGAGCAGTATTTGGCTTTCTCTACTCACCATCAAGCCATGGGGAGAATCTGTCCTGTACATGGGTTTTTGTCTTTTGTGCTGTGTGACTGTGTTCGTCTCCTAAAGCACTAGCGCAGTGACTCTCACCTTCCTCCATTTCATGCAATTTCAGTATAAAAGCATAATGCTTATTTTGCATCACCCACAATGTAAGGTTTGTGCTTCTGGGGCAGAATTAGATCCCTAAGTTGGCTCAAGATGCTTTTGTTCAGATGATGGCATACAATTAGCAGATTAATTATCTGCTTTATCTAATTTATCCTTTAGATAAAAATTACAGGTTTTGCTGTAGTCACTCCTGGTTTACAGGATTTGCCATCACCAGTGCAACAGGTAAGCAGCTCTGCAGTGCAGATTAGAGCCAGGAGAAGGTTTTATCTCCTTGCTTTCTTACCCCATGCTTCAGAGATAATCCATGAAACCTGATTTTCAAGAGATGATATTACTTCTTTTCTGTTGGAAGTGTATTTGTATGGGAGAGAGTGGTTAGCAGCATAAGTAGATGTTTGGCATGTCAGACTTGGGTCTATTGAAAAGATAACCTTACAACTCTGATACCATCTCAAAATATCTAGTCAAACATCAAGATTAGCAGGAAGTAGATTCTTATATCTTAGAAAACTGTTCTGGAGACCATGTATTTGTGAGAAAATATGTGCAAAGGCAGTTTTATGTTTTATTATCATAGAATCATAGAACGGTCTGGGTTGGAAGGGACCTTTAAAGGTCATCTAGTCCAACCCCTATCAAACCAGATGTACCTGTAAAGGGACTTGTGGCCTCAAGACTTGAACAATATGGTAGACAAAGCATTTCTTACATGTTAGGGGATAGATCAGTCCTTTTTTGAGCTGTACTGAGGATAGAAGCACTTCCCTTCTTATAATTCAGATAAATAATGACACAGCAGGAAACTGGGTAATTGAAACATCACATTACTGAAACCATTGCTATGAGAAGTATGCCTACCAGTATTGGCAGCCAGGCATCTTGCAGCTAGCAACTCATTTTCTCGAGATTAATTTTATTGGGTCCACTGCTACTTTTGTGCCAGTAGCATTACAGCATCTGCTTACTTAGTTGGAAGTATTTTCTTTATGACTTATCACAGCTGTTAATTTCAACTTTCTCAGTTCTTGAGTTTTGGAAAATGCTTAAGCAATTTGTTCAAGAAGGACAGTTGTTGGCCTGGTTAATCCATACAAGGATTATGATAGCTAGACTAATGCCCTGACCAGAGAACAAGATACAACCCTGCCTTAATCGTCTTAAGCGTAAGATCATTCTTTCAAATCTGAACAGTTATGGTTTTTAATAAGCGTAGAAGAAGAATTAACAAAATCATTTTGTTTATCAGCCTATATCAGTCCAATATTTGCAAGTATGTCAAACATATTTTCAAAGATGAGATGCACCCATGGTAGAGTCATCTACAGGAACTCAGGATCTTGCAGACTCCATCTCATTTAAAATCTCTATATCTTTGCTGTGGAGATTTAATATAATTAAAAACATACAGCAAGTTAATTTATTCCTGGAATTCATAATTAAAAAAAATAACATATACTGGATATATCTTTTAAGTCTAGCAACATTGGTTGTGACCTGGATGATGCCTAAGGTGAAATTACAGAACACAGCCACATCTGTTCTGTTACGGCCCTTGGAGAAACATGCAAACTCTCATTTAGGTCAGCAGGA